ACCCTCGATCCCAGGTCTACCCTAGCTCGCTCCCCACCACTTCTTCTTACTCCTCCACCTCTTTCTGACTTTCCTCCTGTGCTGGGGCCCTCTCTCATCTGAACCTGCCTACATCATACATGTAAAAATATACCCCCGATCCGAGATATCGCATCTCCCTCTCTCCCCCAGATATCGATCCCCCCGCAAAAAAACAAAAAAAAAAACGAAACTAAACCTAATATAATCAACTGAGACCCTCCACCCCGCCTTTCTCCGTTATGTAAATATACTCTACGCTGCAGTGCACCGCCACCCAGCTGGCTGCTAACTATGGGAACCGAACTGCACTGGGCAGATACGAAGGGAAGTACTCTAGAGTAAGTGTTTTGTGTTTAGTGCATGCCCTTTTGGAGAAACTCTCCGGCCGGCCCGGCTGGTGGATGTTGGATGCCTGCCTGCCTTCTGTAGCTCTTAGACGGTGCGGTGTAGCTGTAGGTAGATGAGTGCTCAACTAAACCCAAAGGCTGACCGGCCTGACTGGGCGATATGATGGTCAAGACAGCCACGTGAGCGGGAGTGCACTGTCATGGCCGGGGGCCGGGTCGATCGGGGCTCCGATTCGGGAGTGTCAACTTTTGTAAACTCTTGTAAACGTATGGAAGAGTAGTTCTTATGTAATACTATATATATGTACACATGTAGCTATGATACACAGACTTGCAAGACTGTGATATGAGTATGAGTCGACTGGTGCTCTACGTAGTATAGTGCAATGTTGCATGGTTCACGATGTAGGTAGAGCAGGTAGAGCATTTCTCATAGCCTTGGACAAGACAATACAAGACGAGAGGGGGATCGAAGGCATGTCGTGATTAGTGGTCGATGCACAATACTTCTGTAACTACATGTATGTAGTACCTTGCAATACCTTGCAATTGTCATTGTCCACCCGGAGGACAAGCCGTTTGATTGCAACAGTGGCATGTGCGGAGTACCACAAAGGCAATGTCCCTGATCTGTCATATGTATCTGGAGGGGCCCGGCCGTGCCCGGTTTCTATGTATGTATAATAATAATGTATGTCTTGGGTAGAGTATCGGGGATGGGGAGTTGGAACTTCCGGCTCCTGTCTTGTGCTTGTGCAACGATACTTTTGAGAAAGGTACATACAGACAGAGAGGTACGTAACTTGCTTGCCGGTGTTGTTCTACAAACACAGATGTCAGGCCGGGTGGGATAGGATGGGGAAATCCTGCCTCTTTCACTGCTTCACCCCTCTCAGCGAGAGTAGCTAGCTAGCTAGCCAGCTACGTAGCCATCGCCAAGTTCCAAATCCACACCTTTGTTCCAGAAGGCCCGGCGCCATGGTCCGGCTTGGGCGAGGAGGGGTCGGAGGAGGGGTGGGTGTGTAGAGGGGTACTTCTCGATGGGAAGGGGTGTGTCTCAATGGGAGGGGGTATGTCGAGCAGAACAGAAGAAGGGGGGGGGGGGGGCAGGACAGTGACAGTGACAGCTCCTCTTAGCGAGAGAGAGAAGCAGAACAAGAAGAAGCACCACCCACCCTGATGTGCTGGCACTTCAGTCAGTCAGTTCCAGCCTCATGCTCATCCATGAATGGCCCTCGAGCTGGTAAACCCGGGGAAGGAGGGTGCGGTGCATATGCGGGTGCGGATGCGGAGCTATGCGCACATGCTCGCTCCCGCGCGCGCAAGCAGAGGCTGTTCTACTGTTCTGTTCGTCGGTGGTGCCCGTGGTGCAATTAGGTGGGTGGATGGTGAGGACGTATGGAATGGTTGGATCGTGAGTGCATGGCAGGTTTACATATGTCTACATAATGTATGTATGTAGCTGCCTACATACATACATAACATGTAATTGTCAAGAGGACATGGTTCGCGGTTTACTTTACATTATGAGTGTCCTCATTTGCATTCTGCGTTTTTTATCCCGATTGAGCGGTGGTGAGGGTGAGCGGTGTTCCTGTTCGGGGAACCCTGCAGCACAGCAGTGGAAGTGGAAGTGGAAGTGGAAGTGGAAGTGGAAGTGGAAGTGGAAGTGGAAGTGGAAGCACTAGAACAGACAGAGCAGCTAGCTGGGAAGACGCAAGGCAGAATTGGGTTTCTGGTTCTGGTGATGCGCGCGTGCACCAACGCGGACAGAGATCGGGCATCATGGGTGAGCGTGAGTGAATGAGTGAGTGAGTGAGCGAGCGTGAGTGAGGGTGTGAGTGGGAGGTGAGCGTGAGTGTGAGTGTGAGTGTGAGTGTGAGTGTGAATGAGGCTCTGGAGACGTAGTACTGGAGTGCGAAGAGAACGGTGCACCGGTAGAGAGAGAGAGAGAGCAGGGAAGTTAGAGGAAAGAGAGGAGAGGAGAGTGTGCAGAGGAGATTACGAGTACTACTACTACATACATCCAGTTACATACAGCAGGAACGTTACTCCATGTACTCTACCTGCCACTGGCACGGTAACAGTAGAGAACGGCCATGCTCTCGCTACGTAAAGTAGGTAGGTACTCTCCTCTCCTCTACAGACATACTGCAATTAGTACACTTCCGGTCCCATCCATGAATTGGACAGCTGCAATCCTCCATGAACATGTAGACGAACGAATTGAGCAGCTCTCTAGCCAGCTCTACTACTTATTAGCTACAGTAGAGTACATATATCCACAAGTAGTTAGAGCGCTGGTATCTACTGTCTACAACGAACAAGTAAATGCAACTTCTACCCACTTACGTCCATTCATCTTACTTCTTGAACTCGACAAGTCCCTGTATGACATTGTCTATCCAGGATATCCCATGTTCCCTCACCCATCCCACAGTCCCATTGGCAATGGGGTGAGTGAGCAAGTGAGTCGTATCTCTCCATCCACCCTTCCACCCCAAGCTGGCTAGCTAGCTAGCTACTCTCGTCAACACTCTCTCCCTCCATCCTCCAAACAAGAAAGCAAAGCAAAAACCCAGGGTAAAACACAATCCCCCCTCCCCATTCGCCCATCCCCCCCCCCCCCCCCCCCCTCCACCCCTCGTCGTCGTCGAACCTCCGCCTTCTTTGCGCCTACCAGGCGGAACACACACCGTCGGCAGTCCCGCCCAATCAGCCAATGCCAGCAGTGTCCGCCTCGATCCATTGGCTGCCCGTGATTGGCGCGAATACAGGTACTGTACTCCAGCAGCGCTGTGGTGGTTGCGGTAGTGGTGGTGGTCGTGGTGGTTGCACACATACACACCCAGGTGCGCACCTAGGTAGGTAGGCCAGCCAGGACGCACAGGTTTTTTTTCCCTTCTCTTTTTTTTTTTTTTGCTTTGGCCAGGGAAGGAACGGTTGCTTGGGGGCCCGTCATATCTGTCACTGCACTGTACTGGGCTGGGCTGGGGGGCATGGCGGAAAGCGGAGCGGGCAAGAAAGCAGGCAGGCAGGCAGGCAGGCAGGCAATCTAGAGGTAGGCTGACAAAAAGGTGTACTTACGTCTTGTCTTGGGGAGGAGTGAGGGTGGGAGTGGTGTAGCCATGCTATGAGAGAGAGTGCAGAGAGTGCCAGTGAGAGATGTCGACTCTGGGAAGAAGAAAGAGAGGCTCCAACTTTTGGCTAGCTAGCTACCGTATACCCTCTTACTCCCACTGCCACACCCCCCCCCCCCCCCCAAACACCACTACCAAACTACCACACACATAAAACTGTTTGAGGGTTTTTACTTTTTTGGGATATCCCTTGGGGGCTGGCCGGCCTTTTTGAGACGCTTCTTATTTATTCTCCGAGATTTGTTCATAAGTTGGGAGTTTTTTTTCCCCTACTTGACTACTACTACTACCACGACGTACTACTACTATTGCTACTACTATCTACTATCTACTAGCTATACTGCATACGTACCATACCTGGCTTATACATTTGCTTTTTGCTTCTTCTACTACTTCTTCTACTTCTACTTCTACTTCTGCTTCTTCTGCTTCTTCTGCTTCTGCTTCTACTTCTGCTTCTATACTGCTTCTGCTTCTATACCACTGCTCTTTCTTCATACTATACTATACTATACTGTTGCTTGCTTGCGACGACAACAGAACACGACTGCCACTCACCACTACACGGTATACCACTACTACTGCCCCACAACGACTCGACTCTGTCTTAACTTTTGAAACCTTCCTTTCGAACCATCCATCGCCAACGACGAACGGCGCCTACGGCCTCCCTTCTTTTGATTTGCCATACATAGCGTCCTGTCTCGTTCCCCTTCCCCTCCTTCCTTCCCCACTTACTATACTACTACTACTATATACCGATATATATTTCAAGAGCTAGAGTTCTCCCTTCTCTCTTTCCCCCGCTCGTCAGGTAAAGATTGCGGGCTTATAACCCCCCAAAGTGTTGGTTGCTCCAAATTCCTTATCGTGTTCAATCCGCCTACCTGCCTGCCCCGCCATTGCCCTAGAGGACGTCGTTGCTGTACCCCTCCAGATCCTCCCTTCCACCTGCCCAACCCAACCCAACCCAGCTGCCCAATCCAGCCCAATTAACTACCTGTCTCTACCCCAGCCCGGCTTCCACTCACCACCGCTACCGCCGCTTCCTTGCAAGAATCACCAGCTGACAGGAAATTAGTAGAACTACATAGCTATAAAAAATCAAATCAAATCAAAAACCAACTTCTTCTACTACTACTACTACTACTACCACTACTACCACCACAACAAACCAATAAAAAAAAAACCTCTTAATTACAAAAAAGAGAGATCAATATTTAGTGAAAACATTAGATTTCTCCCTTGTAGCTGGCTGGTTCAGGTACTACTAGAAAACTAAATCAATCAAAACTAAAATCAATTATAACCTCCGGGGTGGGAAAACAATTACCCCGTATCAAGCTTCACAGCTACACATTGCTAGCTAGCGGCTATTATTTTCTACACAGCAGCAGCAGCAGCAGCACCATTATCAGCGTAAACTAACAACCTTACTCTTCTCCTCCTCCTCCTCCTCCTCTTCATCCTCGGAAAACGGACGGCCCTTCGGATGGCATCTCCTCACGTAAACTCGGTTCTAGAAGTAGATCAAGTAGACGCTGAAGAAGCCAGCCAGCGCCAACTGCGGGAGTTTGCAAGGTTCCAGAAACTGAATCCTAGCCTCGGCGCTGATGAAGCCGTAAAGAGCTTCCTCAGCGCCCAGCAGCAGCAGCAGCAGCAGCTACAGTCTCCGGTGGATTTTAACACAATCCAACGGAGCTCAGCGATCCAGATAGGCGGTGGTGGTGGTATGAATCATAGTGGTAGCGGTGGCTTTCGGCCAGAATCATGTCCGCAGACATCGAATCTCCCACCGCTGGGTGGGGCTGGGGGCCAGCGGATGGTGCGAGGAAACTCGGTATGATTCTCCCTTGTTTTTGTTTCTCCCCCATACATATGAAGCTTGAAGAGAGTGTTGGTGGTGGTCCTCCGGTATAATATTATGGGAAATCAGGCGCTGAGAGTATCTACTATCCCCGTCCACAGACCAACCCGCAGCACAACAGCCTTCAGCACAGCTTCGCCCTCCGCGCCGGCCGCTCCCCCACACAATTCATTAACACGGTGCCCGTCACACCGGCGGACCCACCGCAACCACTGCTCACGCAGTACACGTCGGCCCCTACAGCACCCAGTTACCAAGTTCTGCACTCTCTCGGCCTCGACGACTTCGACACCGGCGCCACGCCCGCCGCCCTCCAGGAGTACCTGTTCCAGAACGACGACCCGTTCCCGCTGGCCCTGCGCCCCGAAAGCTTCAGTGGGTCCCGTTCCAACAAGGGCTACCCGGCACTCACCATAAACCCGTTCAGCGCACCACAGATGCGGTCGCAGCCGTCGTCGCAGCTATCATCGAGCTACACGGAAGACTCTGTGTTCCCGGACCTGGACCTGAGCCCGCAAAACAACAAGCACACACGCAGCTTCTCGCACGGCTCTGCCGAGTCCGAGCGGTTTGTGTTTGGCCAGCATAAGATGAGCCGGCAGGGCAGCGGGGCGAGTGGATGCGATGCGGGCTTCTCCATGCTAAGAGTCCATTCCTCGACGGGGAGTATGGGCGGCGACATATTCTCCGAGGATATGGGGGATCTGTTGTGCGGCGTGGGGGGGTTTGCGGGGGCTGGGGGGGACTTGGGGAGAGTGGCAGGGCAGGTTGTGTTGAAGAGGTCATCGGAGGAGCTGGATGGCGGGTTGGCTGGGCTAACTGATTACTATTCGCCGGGTTCGGCGGGGCTGAAGAAACAAAGGAGGGCCAAGGAGGAGGATGTGAAGGAGGAGACGTCCACAGCAGTGAAGCAGGAGCTGAAGAATTGCGAAGAGATGGATGAGAAGAAGCTTGTAGCGGAGATACTACAGCGTCCTCTTCCTCTACCGCCGACTCCTCAGTCTACGTCCGACACTACTATGGATGTCAAACAGCAAGAGCCAAAGTCAGAGTCACAAAAGCCCTCAAATCCCGTCTCCACAGTCCGACCAAAGACTACCACTGCCTCCCGCCCCCTCCCAACCATCAAGCCCGGGAAGAACCCAAACACGCCCCCGACCCCCAGCACCTCCACGAAATCCACCTATGTCCGGCCCCCTCACCCACGCGTCTTCTGCACGAAATGCACGGCCCATCCTGAGGGCTTCCGGGGTGATCATGAGCTGCGCCGTCACACCGACAGAGAGCATGCTTTAACCAGAAAGATGTATGTCATCTGCGACATCTCGAAGGGGAAGACACTCCTTGCCAAATGCAAGGCCTGCCAGAGCGGGAAGAAATATGGCGTGGACTACAATGCTGCTGCGCACCTGAGGAGACAGCACTTCAAGCCCAAGGTGCGGGGTGGTAAGAATGGTAAAAAGGGGGCTGCGGCTGCGGCCGCATCAGCGGGCACGCTGGAGCAGCACTCGGTGCCCGAGATGGCCGAGCTGAGGAAGTGGATGATTGAGGTGAATGTGGAGGTACCGCGGGATAAGACCTCATACAGCAAGAGGGGAAGAGACAACACTGCCGCCGCTTTAGCTGCGGCCTGTCAGGATGAGGCCGGTGATAGCAGCGAAGATAACGAGGATGATGATAATAACAACGACGGCGAGGGTCAGGTTGCCGATAATCAGCTAAACACGATGGACTCTTTGATGCAGGGCATGCCACTAAGCGGCGTCAACCACCACACCCCCAATGACGGCTTCTCATGGGCTGCGTGGGACAACAACACCAACTTTACATACGCGGACCCAAAGATCATGCAGCACTTTACCCACCAGTTTGGGATCCAGACCTCTGCTGGCGCTGGCTCGATTCCCCTCACCATAGCGGGCGGGTTCAACCAGCACGCCGCGGTACACAACAGCTTGCTGCCTACCCATCAGGCGATGATGATGATGATGCATGGTAACCCACAGCAGATGCAGCAGCAGCAGCAGCAGCAATTGCCCTATTTTGGGCATGAGGTGGATACCAACGCCTTTGGGGAGTGTATGGCTACTGGAGCTGGGGTTGCGTCAAAGTTCTCGGAGCTGGGGCAGCTGTTTCCGGGGATTAATGTTGAGGTTGGTGATGTTTGAGCTTTGGGCGGAATTCGATTCGCTTTTATATAGTTTTATTTTTATTTATTTTTTTATTATATTGTTTCTTTTTATTTTTTTATTTTTTGATGCCTCATGCTTGGATGGTTAGAGAGAGCGCAGGTCATTAAAGAGGGATGGGAGTTTATGCTTATTTGCAATTGATTTGGTAGCTCCTATGACTGGCTGGCTGGGCCGGGTGGTATGATATTTTTTTTTCTTTGCTTCCGATTCTAGTTGGTATTTAGTAAGGTGTTTATTGCAATTGTTGTTCTTTTTTATTCTTATCTTTTTTTTATTATCTTTATACTTGTGTTCAGGAGTTGAAACTGGAGTTTGCGATGGATTTTCACGGAGGAACTGGTGTTGTTTGGTTATTTGCTGCGTGAGTTGCTTTGCTGCGTTAGCTTGTGGTTATTTTATCTACGTTTTCCCATTTTCCACACTTGTTAATCGTTCTGTTCTATGTTTGGGCTGGTGTAGTGCTTTTTCTTCTTCGTGGTTTTATATATTACTTAGCTCTGGGCTGTGTTTGGTGAATGTTGTATTACTGTTTGTGCTGCTTTGATGCTGTCATGTTTGTATGGATGTGTGGATGTATGGAGGTGTGGAGGTGTGGATGTGTGGAGGTGTAGATGTGTGGAGGTGTGGATGTGTGAATGCACGTAGTCGAATACATGTGTCGTGCTTTGCTTTCATCTTGTCTGCCGGTGCCGTCCTATGTGTGATAATGGTTCGTGGCTCCCTCCTTGATGGACGGGGGGAATTGGTGGTGGTTACGTGTAGCTTAGGTTAACGTGAGAAGATGGGGAAATAGATTACTTATTTATTTGACCTTGGTTATCTGGCATTCCTTGGATGGATTAAAGACTCACAGTCAGTACCGTTTGTCGAAAAAGCAGGATGAGACGGATTCCTTAACGGACGAAGAGTCTAGATGGCTATATAATCACGCACCGCAAACGTGTCTAACACCGCTGCAAGAACAGATCCGAGTGACATCCCATGATCCCAACCGACCCGTGCAAACATTCATGTCAGGATGGTCATTACCGGGAAACGGGCTTCTCGCCGATCACGACGCACGGGAATCTTCCTCTCACGCGCACAAAGCAGCAGCATAAACGGACATGTGCAAAGTGTATAAAAATAAACATCGCTCGCAGATCATCTACACCATGTCTACTCTAGTCCTACATTGTAACCACGCCACCCCTCACAACTACCCTAAAGCTTCGCCGGTACTAAATTTTTCGGTTTATTTCTGTCACTGCTGACAATGATCGCCAGCTGGCTCGCGATGGCGACCAGGTTCTTATCCTCGTCATAGATATCCACCATGACGTCCATGCGGCCATTCCGGATCTCGCGCGCCTCGATACGGCAGAACAGCCACTTCCATCCCTCCGGCGGCGGGATGCGCTTCACCTCGACCTTCAGCGAGAGCGTCGGATACCAGTGCGTCCGGGAGGTCTCTTTGTAGTTCTCCGGTATCGGGAGGTACTACCATCACGTTCACGGGTCAGTTAAAAGGGACGCGGTAGGGGGGGGGGGGACGCGGGGACATAACTACCATATCACTCAAGAACCCTAGCGCGGGAACATCCATGCTCCCCCCATCCTTCAGAGACACCCACTGCTCCCGCACACTCGGCGACCCCTCAAGGCTGCCATACGTGCGCGCCCCCACCGCCGGCACCGCATAAATAAGCTTCCGCGACGCCGGCCGCACATCCACCCGCGGATCGCTCGCGTTCGGCGCCTGCACACACTCTGTCTCCCGATCCGGAATGCCTCTTCGCGGCAGCGTGGACGCGGTTGGCAGCGTTGGGCCAGTCTGCAGAGTCTCGAGATTCGTGAATGGGATTAGCCCCTCGAAGCAGAGCCGCTCCCCGCCGTTCTGCGTGAGCGTTGCGCGAAGGAAGCTGTACTGCCGGCCGGTCTTGACGGGCGTGATGGCGATGCGGGCGGCGCCGGGGGTGCACGAGTTGAAGAATGTGCAGGAGATGTGGATTGCGTGCGGCTGATTGAGTGGTGCGAGGGCGGGGTGGGTGGTGATGTGTTTGTGGGCGCTCTTGAGGAGAAGGGCGGTGAGGTAGCCGCCGTGGGGGACTGTAAGGTGGGGTATCAGTGCCAGGGTTAGCGGTGGAGGTGGGAGTGTGCGTACCGAAGCCAATGCACCAGTCGCGCTTGAGGTCAGCGGTATAGACGCCGGAGTTGGGGGGGAGGCTGCTGTCGACGTCTGCGGGCGTGACAGTGGTTGCGTCGGCGAAGCTGGAGTATTGGAAGCCGGGGGGGAAGGTGGGCTTGTTCTTCCATTCGGACATTGTGGATGTGTACTTGCCTGGTGGGTGTTGGATATATTGTGAGCTGAAGAGGAGGAGGAGGAGGAAAGGAGAGGAGATGTCGCGGGGAGCAGTGAATTGTCGTGAAGAGTTCGTGGAGTATTCGAGGATACTCCGCAGAGTTGTCTTCAAGCTGCCTCGGGAAGCTCTCGAGCTGAGCTTCGATCGCTAGCTGCGTTGTGCCGAGGTCGCGATCACATGATGCAATCAGGGATTACTATCGATACGGGCACTGACATATTGTCGACACAGAATTCTATTTGCATGCATATTTGCTATCTCCAATTGTGCCCTCTGGTGCAGAATGGAAGATATTGTATCTGAGGTAAGAAAGGGGGGAGTAGAGAGTACCGGTTGGCTTGGCTAGCTTGGCTGATATGATGAACAGCCTAACTACCCTTTTAAGGTCGTCTCGCCTGAAAGAACCTCAATTCTACAAATTGAGATTTGCCCATGTTTGTAAATACCAAGTTTTCGTGTGAAAGCGGTCTCCGAGGTAGAGATATAGTATGAAGCAAAAGTACGGGCCCGTGGGACTACAACAGTTCGTAAAGTGTTTTGAGCAAATAGTGGGTATTCTGATTCCGAATATAGAACAAACTTACGATCACCCACAAGGGTTATACTCCAGAATTTAAACCATTCCAAGGGCCAGCGTCTCTCACCACTAGTGTATGTACTGTAACAGATATTTGAAGTAGGCAGAAGCTTTAAACATGACACACTACATGTAGTCACGTAGTGTTCTCCACGACACCGTTCAAGACGAGACTAAGGCCCAGTCCTGCCTCGTCTTGTGAAATGAGGGTGCCGGTCTCGTCTCGTCTTGCCAATCCCGAAACAGGCTTGAGAAAACCGAGTGAGTAGTTGTGAGCCATTAGCTAGTTGCTCAAATTCTACCCGATAAACGTTGCAGGCTGGCTCTCGTATCTCCTCGAGTCTTGTCCAGAACCTACGCAAATTCAAACGTGAACGCAGCGATGGATGTATTGATGATGATGGATGAACTTCTATGAGTGACAGAGAGAAACTAATCTAAGTGCCCGTTACTGCTACGTTTCCCTTTTGCCCCAGTTGGCCACCTATTCCGAAAGCTTGCCAAGTGCCACGCACCACGATGTGTAGCAAACAGTTGACTAGACCATTTTGTCTCTAATATCTACATGTATTTACATGTATGTCACTACATGTGGTATATCTTGGTAGATTTCAAGCCGGTTTCGAGATCAAAATTATTATTATTTGTTGTCGAGCTGTTCGAGACAAGAGCCTCGAGACAGGCCTTCAAGACGTCTAGTCTCATGGAGAACACTACACGGTGACGGTGACTAGTGCCAATCATAACCTTCAATAGATGAACCGATTTAAGGATTAGCCCCATAGACACCGTATCCATAATCCCCCACGGTGTTCCCTATCCCGTACAAATCCCGCTATGACTGTACTAGTAGGCCGGTACTAATAATGCTACCAATCGATCATTGGCCCACCATGGGTCTTGGCAACAAACAATTGCTAGTGTTAGTGCTAAATAGTGTTAGTGTAGATTCGTACCAAGCCGGCTGGCTAATAGTAGGTTCTGAGGACGGCCATCACAACCTCAGGGTACTTTTTAAGAGATTAGCTATTCGAAAAAAAATACTCGTGGTTTTCGATATGAGGCCCCCCATCCGTCATTAGAGTCAGCCGTGCAGCTGCGTTATTGTTCCAGTCCTTCGAGAATCGAAGAGTACTCCAGACCAGTGATATCCTCCATGATGCAGTTACTCTGTTCTAGCCCTTTAGGCCTTAGCTCTGTAGAGTAGTTGATTCACATCAATCCTAACATCTCTTCGCATGCGCACCCCAAACCCGGCCATACCAAACCCACATCCACCCACTTCCCATTCCAGGTCCAGGTCCAGGTCCAAATTACGGGTATCAATCTACAAAGCTAGTATTCAATCAATCAATCAATCAATCTTGATCTCACTGGCCCCCGCAAGATTCACACCAGGGTGCAAAAATTCCCCGAAAGAGAAAACACAATGCCTGTCCGGTTCAGTCGGCCGGCAATATCACACACCCACACACACGAAACAACCTTATTAACGCTTCTACATAGTGGGTTTTATTTGGAAACGAAACGAAACACAACTACCGACAGGAGCAAGTACCATAAGAAGAGAGAGGGAGAGGGGAGAGGGGAGAGGTAGACTTTTCCCGGGTGCACTGCCACGGGGTGGTGGTGGTGGTGGGGGGGGGGAGGGTGTAAGCCACTGAGCTGTTCGCGGAGGGTACTCCGTGGTGCTCGTTTGACATGGGGAGGGAGAATGGATGGATGAATAGAGGGACGGGGAAACTGAAGATGCTGTGGTTGTGGAGAGAGGACCAGGTTGTTGTTGTATGTAGGTACCTGGGTAGGAGGTATCGATACGGAGAGAGAGAGAGTGGGGGGGTCTGTGTCATGTGTGTGGGATGGTTAATTTGTGTGGTTGGTAGTGGGGCAGTGCACAGTCATATCTATGCGATAAGGTGTGCGCATTTATGTAGGTAGAGTACTCGGGGCAGGTAAAAAGTACCGGACAATGCAGGTTTTTGGTTCACCAATGGGTGTGCGTGCTAGGCGTGAACTACTGCAAAAAACCCCAGAGACAAAACTTGCATTGTCCGGTACTTTTTACCTGCCCCGAGTACATACGGTATTCCTTGACTCTGCTGCTCTCTATCTCTACTCTGGGTATCCTCTATCTGTGCCGAGAGAGCTTATGTAGGGTTTGAGGGGAGATTCTCAGGTACACTCGATCCCCCTTTCTTCTAGAAGCCCGGACATTTGCGTGAGGGGTACATACAGCAGCAGCAGCAACAGCGAGATGAGTTACGTTTAGGTACAAGTGCTTACTCCATCCCTAGATCCGTGAGGGATTGTACCTCGCGAGATGGATGGAATGGCGCAGTGAGGGAGGTGTGACGTGAGGAGCGTTTCACAAGGCGGCCTTCTGTGGGCTTGTACTACATACACCATACACACACAACAACCGCTCTGTATGTCTGTACTCTACGAGTCGGCTCTGCAGAAATGGATGGGTAGTGGTACTCTACTCAGTCTGCGAGTTCACCCAGTCTGCGTCTCGAGAGCAGCAGCAGCATGTAGCATGCAGGCTATCAAGGGTGGGAAAGAAAGAAGGCTGCGATTGTTCACGATATGGACACTCCATGTGTTGTATGCATTGGAATCTCCCATCGTGGCATGTGTCTACAGCGATGGATGATGACTGATGACTGATTCCCGTGAAGATGAGGATGATGGAGACAAAGATGAGTTATGTATCTATAGACACTAACCACAGGTACTTCATCTCTAACAGGGAGAGCTGGATAAACAGCCAGAGTAGAGTAGCAGACTAACGCCTTACTGTCTGGTCGCTCGCCTAAATACAGCATCCGCGCCTAACTAACGAAGAGGGAATACGGGAACAGCCGGCGCGAAGGGGCAGAAAGGGTTCGGGGTCTGGATGATGATGATGGTGGAAGGGTCCCAAAGGGAAAAGAGAGGCTTCTTACTGGCTGCTGGCGAACGGTTTGAAGGTTAAGATCCCACTTCACCCTAAGCGACAAGCTTGCGACGCTTTTGCAATCAATCTCCACGTTGATTTGCATGTCATCATGCATATTATCGAAACAACCCCGGCATGCTTGATGTCGAAAAGGGGAAATAAAGAGAAAGCAATGTCCCTTAATTTCACTTTTCATAGGAATATTCTCGCAGAGCCGCATCGAATTAAGGGCTCTTTATCCCCGATTGAGTGCAACGTGCGATTGTCACTGTGTTGCACGAGTGGTGATTGTTAGGCATGTTGTAATGCCCAGCCATTCCGATATGCTCTCAGCCCCTCCCCCAAATTCGTCGAGGTTTAGGTTCTCACAACCTAACTTTCTCCAAAAAGGTCTCTCTCTCAAGGCAGACAGACTAGACATCTCAACTCTCTCCCCAGTCCTCTGCCCTCTCGGCCACACGCAAATCTCTACCAATCTACGCGAATCCGATTAGGACTTTACAAATCTAGCCATCATCACCTCCAACCTCCAACCTCCACCCACAATTAACCCACCAACGCATACACTCCAATAGGATTCACCTAGGGCCCAAAATCTCCCTTCCTTACTCACCACCCCCCGTTCTCGTTTCCCCCATCCTGATTTTCTGTTCTTTGCGCCTTGTGCACAGAGAGATTATCATTAGTGATTCGACAATTGGCACAGCTTCGACATTCCTTGCATTACCAATTACGACAGACCCGAGAATACGGTGCTACCCTCTTGTCTAAAAAGGTAGTGGTGCAAGAAAAAAATAAAAAAAAAAAGTGGTAAAGCTTAACCTAGATCTCCCCCCAAGAGGCCTTTGCATACTACTGCCACTACTACTTACTGCCTACGGCTATTACTATTACAATATCGTATGTACCTCTAAACAACCGTCTTCTAGCAACTCGTCCAAGAAAGCCCTGCTAAAATCCCGTGTGTGCCTGAGACAGGAATAAGTTCCTTGCTCGATTTGTACCCAGGCATTAAATTATACCCTGCGATTAGCATTACGGCCTACATACTCACCTCCTGCGACTGACTCTCGGATTGTGGACTCACTAAAAACCACAACCCACAACCACCACCAACTACCACTCCATCTCTGTCACCTCACATTACACTCCGTCCGCAGCTCCATCACAAAAACGAAACAGAGAAAGCTCCCATTTTAAGGTTGAAATATACACTTTGCCGTTGCAAAGGGAAGAAATATATACAGCACCGCCGCCTACTAGCTACTGCGCCCAGCTTCCGAACCAATTCGGTCAATCATTACTACTACTTGCTACCGAGACTACTGCCTACAATATCGACTAGCTCTCACGACCAGTTGACTGGCTCCCCCACTTCGTTTATTTATACCTTCTTGGTCGCCTCACCTGCGTTGCTGGAAAAAACCGAAAAGAAGGCACCTGTGC